ACTGTGAAGCCGAGATCTCCATCGCGGTGATAATTCGCGGTTGTTAAAGTGACACAGTGTTGGTAGGCTGGTCGAGGCGAGGAATGTGGGGGCCAGACCTGACAATTAGAGCTCTGTATATCACACACACTCTCAAAGGAGGGATGGAAGAGAGAGGGCAGGAGAGGTCAGGACACACACATGCAGAAATACACACTCAGGGAAGACACACACTTGCAAAGGCAGGCGCGCACGGTGGTGGACATATTGTAAATACAAGCATGCAGACACTTTGGAGGAAGAGGTCAGAACATATCGTGCTGCAGACACACTCAGGCACATATACAAAGCAGATAACATATGGCTCTCATTTGCAAAAACAGAGTGAACAACAGAATAACAAAACACTTCTCAGGTAGGTGCATAATACAAGTTAATTTAATTTCCTCTCGCTGCTCATTTCTAAGTCATGAGACAAATGTGAGTGATAGTGAAAAACCTTTACATGCACGTTTGTGCGTTGTGTTTTTGTATCAGGCTCATCTGAATCATGTTTTACATCATTAACCATCGCGTTATCTGACTCTGCCTCAGAGTAATATGATCTAATTGGACAACAGAGGGGCCGGCGCACTGTACAGCACATAAACAATTCAAGATTCCCATGCAGGTAAAAATCTATCTCCAACTCCAGTACACTCACAAAAACATGCACATGCTTAATACGCCCTAACCCTTTATTTTCCCATTGAGCCTTTTTGGGTGCATCATCAGACAACCCGGGCTGAGGCGTAAAAACAGGAGTCGATATGTGTCTGCGATATGAAGGTGAATAATTGTTGTAATTAATGACCTGTGGGTATTAACTAGAGCCATCTGACGGACCTCTGAGGTTAATTCTGCGACTGACTCTATCTGGTATCGGGAGCATCACTCATGCCCTCGAAACAGCATATTAAACGATTCTGTACTTTCTGTTGTTGCGCAAACACTTTATGCGTAATATGAATGTGTGTGTGTGCCTTTGTGAATTCTCTGTGGGTGTGTGTGAGCCTGTGCGTTGTTTTCCGCTCACGTCTAGCCTCAACTCCTCTGTGACACACACACACAAACCTGTCCAAAGTGTCTGAACTTATTCCATGTAAGATAGCTGGAGCCATTAGCTTCCTGTGACCTTTTACCACTCTTTCTCTGCCATCACATTCTGCCTTGTCTGTGTGTGAGTGTGTGTGTGTGTGTGTGTGTGTGTGTTTGTGTGTGCGTTTGACTTCAAAAAAAAAAAAAAAATTCCAGAAGTCCATGAACCACATGGTACCAATGCCTAAACAACAACCATAACTGCTCGTAGATATGTGTAGGTATCTCTGTGTGCAGTTTGTTAAATGTTGGTGTGGGTACATACCCCCACACAAACACACACACATACACAGCCACACATACCCACACACACACACACACACACACACACACACAGGCATGTATTTGCAATGGATTTTCCTTTTCTTTTATTTGCTGTAATTGGAAAATAATTCAGGCAACGTCAGGGAGAATCGATAAAGAATTAATGAAAGGAGAGGGGGAGTCATTAAAGGCAATAAAGAGGGAGAGGTTATGATGAAGATGGCATCATGGAGAGACACAGAGGAGACAGACGCCGCCGCTGCTGCTGCTGCAAGTGTGTGTGAGAGAGAAAGAGGGACTTTGTGAAGAAATGCTCTCCGTGTCGCAGTCTAGGTTGCAGTTTCCCCAGTGCTGTAATAGCGATAAAAGATGAATTACACAGATTATTATTATTACATTATTTACTGTCTTTCTCAAAATGCAGCAAAGAAGCAAAATGGCATAAAGAAAAAGGTTCAAAGTTTGGTTAGACAGCAGCAAATTATACTTTTATGTATTTTAAACATAATTTCAATGGCACATCTATTAATTAATATCATGCACGTATAACACCTTTTTATCATTATATCCTTTAATAAAAAGGCCGTCCTATTCTGCCATTTCAACAGCTGGTGTCACAGTCAATCATTCAAAAGGGTAATTATATGACACTGCAACGCTAAAATACCTACAGTCCCTTAATAGGATCTGAGCCATCGAGATCCAACCTTAAGCTTCCATCCCGGCCCCTACCACTCATCTGAGTGCCGTAAAGCTGCCAGAGGAAACAATACTGCCTCTCTCCTCACCGCTGAGGTTAATGGCAAATGGGGCTATGGCTGCCGGTGATATTGTTGGATAAATGATTATTGATTAGGTAAAGGTTGAGCTAATCATTAGGCTTCATCCATTTTACGGACTCTCTCCGTGACCTTTCTGCCTGGCCCTCTTGGATCACCAGGATTTCTCCATACGATGATTTGATCGCCTCGCAGATGGGCGCAGGGGAGGAAAGGAAAGAGGGGGAGGAGGTAGAGGAGAGGAAAAGCAAAGGCAGATTAGTGAAAGGGAGCTGCGAAGGAGCAATGGAGAAGAGGAAGTGAGTGTGCTGAATGTGTGTGTGTGTGTGTGTGCTGAAATGAGGCGGATACGGAGGATGAAGTCACCCTTAAATATTCCCATACTCCACCTGCCCGCCAAACGTGCAGCATTTTATTTTCATTGCACACTTTATTTATTTATTTATTTTTTTATTTTTATTATTTACAAAAGACAGACTTGCGATTTGGTTTAAATAGTACAGTCTGGGGAGGTTCTTAATTGCAAACTAAGATGAAAGACAATAAATAAAAAAAACAGTTGCAAGTCTTTGCATTGCATCAGTAAATATATTTCAACTGGATGTTTTTTGTTTTTTTTTTACCTTCAAATTAGTAAGTCTAAGAGGCACAATCATTTTATTATAAATGCATTCACTACATTTACAACCAATTGCTTATGAATGAAAAGACCACGATGAACAATAGCTGGGAATATGATTTTGATTTTTACCGAGGTGACCAAATATGGTTGAGTTTGTATGAAACACAACATACTGCAAGATAATTAAGAAATTGTATGCAACCCCTGAAACACATGATGACTCGTGTTCCACAGTGTGCCAGAAATGCCAAAACATCATGGCACTTTGTGTCATTTAATGTGGTCATGTCCACTGATCATAACTTTTCAGCTTTCTTTTCTAACAGAGATTGAGAAATTTCTTGGAATTAAAACAATAATGGATCCAAACCAATATGTTCTTGGTGTTTGCTACTTGTCCGGTAAAAATGCTAAACTTCTTAGTGTCATGTTGTATGTGGCATTTATAGCATGCATGTTTCAAAGTACTGTATGTATTTATTGCTTTCTGTGTGATCTGTTTTTTTTTTAAAAATCAAAATAAAAAAATATGAGCATTTTATGTCCTTAGTAAGTTAGGCTAAATGGAAAATCAATTAATTTATCTACGTTTCAACTGAAGTTTTTTTGTCCCATTCTACCCATGAGTAATATATTCCATTAATATTGCTAAAAAAATACAAAAGTAATAAAAACCTTAGATCCAAAGTGTTGCACATCACCATCAAAAACCCATACCAATGTGAACTCTAATACACAAAGCTGTAAATTCAAGTCTAAATTCAAGTTCACATTCGTCATTCAATCTGCCCCTGCAGTGTTTTAATAGCAGCAATCTTGAGTTACAGTGTTTTACATTCAGCTGAGTGTATAGGCTAAGTATTAGATACACCCAATGTGAAACATCCGCTCTGAAACCTTGACATGGTGACAAGGAAATGCCTTGCTCCTAACAGCTCTATTTATTGAATTGTAGCGAATATTCCTGGCAGCAGGACTTTAACCAAACCCAGACCAGAGCTCACATCTGCACCCAATCAGCACAGGAGAAAACCCCTCTGTTCCTTCTCCGTTCCATTTACTCACAAAGTCCGGCACTGGGAAACAGAATGTTTATTTGAAGTAATACTTTAGTCTGAACTACTGGATGGCAATACGTTAGCATTTTCATTGCTACATGCAGAATCTGTTCTGGGGAATAATGGAGAACATGGCTTTTTCCTGTCTTTCTCCTTGCTGCAATAACTGGAAACTGGAATGTAAAATTGCATTTTTCTCCAGTGTGCTAGTGCTGTTCACCTTACTCAGTATGACCTGAAGCTGGTCTGAAACCTGACTTTATTTCAGACATCATCTTTCCAAATCTGGGATTCGTGGTGCCTTCATGGTACCAAAAGTGGGAGCACTTTCTGACAACACTGACAAACAATGCTGTATATAATATAGAAATAACACACTGCATATCAAATCATCATTTTATTGACTTTTTTATTGAAACACTACAGGACACAGTTAAATTTTATTCACTTTTTTGCTGCACATTTAAATCTAACAAACTCCCCCACTTCCTTGACAGACAGGCCTGATGTCCAGCTTTGTAATTAGCACAGTCCTTTGCAAGCAGGACTCAACAGCCAGGGGAACCATACAAGTCAGTAATGCACCATGAAGACGCATAAATTATACTGCAAACACATACCCATGTACGCATGAGATGTACAGTAAAGTACAATTATGTGCACATAGAACACACACACACACACACACACACACACAGGCCCTACACATGCACAGTGACAAACACACACATGCATGCACCTTAAATAAGCATTTGCACAGCCAGCATGCAGCTCTGCACACACGACTGGCTAAGAAAATAATTAAAGAGAGCTTATACAGCAAGTGTGGATGATTGAGTAAACAACACACACATATACACACACCTACCAGTTCATTTTTATTGTATCTTTTGTCTTGGAGGGAGATGAAATCAAACATAAATGGAATTATATTGTTCTTACTGCGATCCTGGTTTTGAGATATTGAGGTTTAAAGCTTTCACAGCTTAGATAGAAAAAAAATGGAATACAGTAAAGTTCTCTTGTAGTGGTCAAAATCACAGGCATCCAAAATCTCTCTACATTTTGATATGGGATTTTGCAGGTAGAACCTCCTGATACCGAGAATAAATTTTCTGTTTTGAATATTAAGACTCTCTACAGTCTACAGTTTAGTCTTACTTTGTTTTTTTTTTTAAAAAAAAAAAAACATAATGTACAAGTTATTAAAATTAGTAATAATGTAAGATACACATTTTGAATAAACTTAATTAAAAACTACACAACAAAGTCATAAAATGTTTCTCTCCTAATTCTGATGATTCTTTTGTGTCCTTGTTCTATGTTGGGTTTTTTTTGGGGTTTTTTTCAATTCATCATCGTTTTTTCTTTTTGGTGTTTTTTTTCTTGCCCAGTTTACATGACTGTTTTTGCCTGGACAAGCTTGGGTCATCACTGTCAGTGTCTGAGCTCTGAATGCAGTCACTGTTTCATTTTGTGTCTGCAGCAGAAGATGAGTTAAAGTTCATATCAAACTTGCAAAACTCCTACTCATGCAACGTTTTACTGTAATTTTAGCTCTTATTTAATGTCAAAAGCAGTGAGGGCAGGCAGGAAGAGGCGGGACTTCATTAGTCAAGTATACTAACCGAGCAGTGGTTGGCTTTACAGTTGGAACTTGTTGAACAAAGTTATAGAATGACTTTGAAGATAACACCTTTTCTGTTTTTAGATTGTGGAGCCATTAAATCATAAAACTAAAAATAATACCATGCAATGTCAATAACTTGTCACAACTGAGTCATGATTAACTCATTTGCAACTTGCTCTACCAATTTTTGGTCACATTGACCCGAAAAGACATTTTGAACAGAGAATATTCTAAGCTTTCTAATGATATAAATATTGTTTTTGCACTCCAAATATTAAGTAAGATATGGAACTTTACATAATGACTGTCATCAAATCATGATTTTGAGAAAAAGGCCTTTAACATATGTACAGTGCTTGGAAAGATATGTGACAGAGCCCACCGGCCTTCCAAACTGAGAGTACATGCTGTACACCAGGGTCTGTCTCAGGGTGAAAAATACACAGAAATGTTTGGGGAAACTTTTATTTTATAGACAGCAAAATACTGAAGGAAAAAAAGAATATCTAACAACACAGTGCAGGAAGACGAGAAAATATTGTTTACTTTGGAAGAACTGCAATCCATTTGATCAACAAAGTTAGAACTCAGCTAGCAATGGATTCCGCATGACAATATTCACAACATGGATTGATTTAATGAGAACTGTTGATCCTTTTGATCAGTGGACCCTGACGGACTGAGGGAATACATTGGACACTACATAATAGAGGAATGGACACATATTTGGACTTGATGACCGCCTCAAAGTCACCACTTGTTTTCGTCTCTCTTGTTTAACACGACTGTGCCCGTACTGATGAATGAATTATACTTAAGCTCTCATGGTTTCCAGAAATTGAAGTGAGGGACTAGATAGTGGAGGATCTAACTGAGCTAATGATTTTTTGTTTATTCATTTACTTTTATTGATAATAATTTCTGGTCACTGAGAGTTGAAAAATGTTCAAATTTGTGTGAAACGCTGCACTTGTAACCGTTGCTTTTCACCCAACCATCCAATCATCATAGTGGAGGAAGGCAAATAACACAAAGACCAACCTCTACATCCTACAGGTACACGTGCTGAACAACAGCAGCAATGGAGGAAAATGAAAACTGCTGGCCACATAGACTGACGGGTTCGTCCTCTCTCCCTGCATGCCTCAGCCTTTCCTTCATCCAAGGCAAGGGCCAGATCAAGTATTTTACCTTGCGTCCACATCTTTTCATCTGTGGATATTCTGAATCATAGTGACCACACTCAGCCAAAGTGTCTCTGCTGAAAAATTGCTGCACCTTTAAAAGGCTCTAGTACTCCAAACTGGGGTAAAAAGCTTTGATGGACACACAGCCCCTTATAAAAGTAACACTGGTGATTGTCTGATCAATAAGAGTTCGGTCCAACAAGAGCATATCGACCAACCAATCAACCAACTGACCAAAAGTGTCAGCCTTTGACTTTTGTTCTAGCACCATCATCAGCTCAGATTTTTAGCTTTATTTATGGCCATACATCTGCAAATCAGCCTGAATTGTACTTTGTGTTTAGTGCTATTAATTAGTAGCATGATGGCACATTAAGGTTTGTCAGCTAGCCTTAACATTTAGTATTTAATAAAGCCTTAAGGCCCTGATACACCAGGCTGACTGTCAGCCATTGGTCAAAGTTGGGCCATCAGTGAACATCTACCACCCTAGTTTTTGCAGTTTGTCCCGCACGGTGGACACAAGTCAGCCCTTCTTGGCTGCTTTTTGGCCTCGGGTTGGCAGTTCAGTGCACAAAAAGAGAAACAGAAATAAGGAAAGCTACAAACGACTAAAGTCAAGAGTGCCTGAAATCAAGACCTGTTACATGTATATTAGATAAGGTTATTTTTTTTTTTAGCCATTGAGCTCTGTTGCAAAAACGGTTCATAATTGTTTGTTTTATTGTTCGTTAGTGCATGGTAAATATCATCTGTCCTTTCGACATCGGGCTGAGTTGGTAATATGCTAACTACTAACTAGCATCTTAAATCCGTGCAGTCACTCTTCCAGTTTCCTTTTCTGAATGACGAATACAGACTACCGCCACCTGCTGTTATGGAGAGTTATTTCCTCTCACACAGACACAGAATGTACATGCTAGCTGACTGTTGGCTGTAGATTTTGTGGTGTGTTCAAGTGCAACTTTTTGGCACAGACACAGACGACGTGAGGCGATGCAAACAGTCGACCTTTGTCACCACTAGTTCTTGATGTAAGTTTGGTGTGTCTGGGCCTTCACAGAGCTGCTAGTGTGAAAAAAAAAGTCAGATTGAGCTTTGTAATTCTAAAGTTGCAATCACTCTGTAACAAAGTTCCATTTCATTTGATTATGTTTAAGGTTCTTGTCCTCCTCTAAGCAGCTGAGCTGGCACCGTGCTGAAAGTACTATGACACATACTGAGACTTCCTGATGATTCCAAGACAAAGCGATGTGATCTCATACTATATTGGTATATTTCTCTTCAGGCTACTCTGTAGGTGAAAGCCAATTCATCTGCACTTCTTGTCACACGGCCCTCTCTTTGCCAAGAAAAGAAATCCTTCACATTCTGCTCACCATCTGAAATCGTCACTCTCTCCTTCCCTCGTCCTCTGTCCTATATTCCTTTTTCTCTGTCTTCCCCCCCTCCTTTCTTCACCTCTTCTACCCCTGCCGTCTTTCATTTAAATATTTCATCCAGTTGTCTTGCGGCTTCTACGGCTTGCCAAGTGTCATCTAGATCCCAGGGCCCGACACTAAAATGGAGCACGGAAGTCATTTTTAGAGGCGTGTGTGTGAGAAAGAGAGAGAGACAGAAAGAGAAAAGGAAAGGGGTGGGATGAGAAGGAGAAGCAGCTCGACTGGGGTCTGAGACATCGGGTGGTGATAAGAAGTGAAAAGGTGGAGAAGACATGGGAGTGATAACTAATGTACTTCCTGTGTACTTCCTCTTCTCTCCTGTCAACCCCTCCTGCTGCTGACACCCCCTCTCTCCTTCAGCCTAAAAGATATAACTGATGTGTGTGTGTGTGTGTGTGTGTGTGTGTGTGTGTGAGTGAGTGTGTGACTCTTAGGTGACGTGTGATGTAAAGCAGTTGGTCTGTGCGTGAATGAGAAGATGTACATTTATGTCTGTCGGACAAACTGATGGCTGATGTGAAGGAGTGTGTATGTGTGTGTATGTGTGTGTGTGTAACTACCTGATGGCTGATGTGAAAGTGGGGTAGTGAGGGATGACATGGACAGATGAGAGAACGAGGGGGGAGAGATGAGTGAAACTTCTACTTAGCAAAGAGTGATGTGTTTGCTCTGTTTAACAAATGAGTGTGTTTCTCTTCACCTAAGTGTGTGTGTGTGTGTGTGTGTGTGTGTGTGTGTGCATAACAGTCTCTCATACCAGGCTGGTTTGTTGTCTCCTCTTTAGGTCAAAATGCACTGGATCATAACGAATGTTCTTGCAAATCTCTGCACCTACCTGCAAGACAAAGGAGAAGAAGAAGCAGAGAGAGAGAGAGAGAAAGATGAGATTGTAGCCACGTAGTACCAATCTAAGCCGCCCTTTTGTCCTCGCCGAAACACTGACTCTTGTTGTAGTTTAGATCGTAGCTGTGAAAACACAATGACAAACACGGTTTGGCTTTTAACACATTTCTCCCTGCGTTGTCAGGTAGCTCGGCACCCCCCCAACATGCACCACCTCCTACTACAGCACCATACACCATGGTACAATACGTTAGGTGCGGTAGAATCACGCCAACTGTACATCATTATTATTTCTGCAGAGGCGATTGTCTCATCCCAAGTGTAAATGAAAGTCATGCTTCTGTCGCTACTGTGTAGGCTAAGGGGTGAACTTACTGTGTTTTATAAATAGAGTAAAGACAGAGAGAAATTGAATAGAGTTATTATAAAATGCTCAGCCATATTGTCCACCTGGTCACAGTTATTAATACAGTACCTATTTATGTGACCAATATTAGTAGTATAAAAGTGTGACATGCACAACCATTATTTTCATGTGCTTAAGTCCGTAATACAGAATTACAGCTGCTGTCTTAGGACACTTTATGGAGCTATACATAAAAAGATGTCAGTCGACAACTGCAATTATCAGACATGATGACTGACCCTCGTGTAGTGTTCACTGGTATCCAACAGGTCAAACTGACCCAGGACATAATTGGTGGAATTTTAAATCAAAACATAAGACTTAAGAATACTTCACATACCTTTTTCTTTTTTTTAGTAGCAAACATTTTGCATAATATAATTTTGTATTCATTTATTTATCTATTTTTGCATCAACATTTTCTAGAACACATATTGGTGTTGCCTGACTCCTCCACAAAGGGTGCCATGCCATTGTTCCAACAGGCCAAAAATGTGGAGGCTCCAGTAGTAAGAAAAATGTCCCATTGGACTGAAAGTCAATTTCTCTGACTGCCCGTTATCCTAAAAACCAACCTTCATTACTCCAAAGTCCTGTTTCTCCAAAAATACACACTTCCTGCAGTTAGTTTCCCAGCTGCGTTTGAGCCACTGAACCCAGGTGTTTTTCACTGAACCATCCCTGCTTTCCCAGTGACTGCTGTGCCACCACACATGAGTGTTTCAAGCTAAAATATGACCTTTTCCTAACCATAGCCAAGTGCTTTTTGTGCTTAAACATAAACACACAGTCATCACAGCATCTTTGACGAATGTGATGTATCCATGGTTTCCCAACATGTTTTCTGGTGATTGGGTTGCTGCAGGGAGTGTGTGTTTGTGGAGAAACGGAACTTCAGAGCAATGGGCGTTTGTTTTTGGGACAACGGGCTGTTGGAGAAATGGGCTTTCAGTGAATACAACATTTTTTGGTCCAGTGGTGTTTTGGAATTTTGGGCCATTTGAACAATGGGAAGTTCCTCTGGAGCTTTCTGGTTTCAGAGCCATCTAGATCTCAAAGGCCTCATATGTCAACACATCCAGCATGTTGTAAAAAGAGCAGAAGAAACCAATGTAAGGTTTTTCTTTGGCAGCTAAGGACAGCATCTCGGTCCACTTTGTAATAAGTCAGTATAATGTGTGGCTGACAGTGACTCTGGTCTCTGACCTCTCCATCTCTGTGTAGCTCAAATAATGAGCACCATTTTTGTCCCTAATATTGTCAGCTGGAGAAGTTTTTGTAAATCCAATAATTGTATAGGAAGATGTGTCACTGTTAAGTTGTCCTGGTCAACACCAGATGAAGGACATACATTTGTTGGTGATTGTACAGCTTTTTTTTAATGCAGAAAAAAAGGGATATGGTGATTGATAATAAAGAACCAATTTTAAAATAATTTTTCATTTAGAAAAATAAATAACTAAATAAGGTCATTTTGACATGAAGACTGTGCACTGTAAAACTAATTCCAAAACCTAAATCAGATATTAGTTTGGTTTCATTCAGCATAAAGACACCCTGAGGAAGGTGTGCACATTGGTGTATTTTTATAATGCATTAGCCCTGTGGTTTCTGACCTAAGGGTGAGGACCAAAAGAAGGGTTAATATGATGGATCTTAGAGGGTTATAAGATGATTACTGTAAAAAGGAAATAAAAGAACCAAAATGTTTTAATCTATTTTTTCAGTCTTTTCTCTAACCTTTGCAATTTCTTGTGAAAGACCAACAGTCTTTTATCTGTTCTTTTATCTGTTAAAAAAAAAAAAAAATCAACTGAAGCGGTCTAATGAGGGAGAATTGCTATTCAATTCAACTCAACAATTCAATGTGACAAAGGTTTGCAGGAAGACCTTGCTTCGTGTTAAGGGGTCACAAGCAAAGAAGGGTGAGAACCACTGTATTACCCTATTTTTATTAAAGGCCTTAAATCCTTAAACATCCATTTGAGTGCAATGAATTGGATTTCTTATGACCATGACCCTATCCTGGATGAAGGCATATTATTTTTCCTTCCCCTCCACCACCCCGTTCCCATTTTTTAACTTTTTATTTTAAAGTACAATTTGCTTACAATCACCACATACAGCTGGATGCAAATGGTTTGATTCTGTTTTAATGTTTGTCGTATTTTAAAGCTCTTGTCATTTGCCTAACACACACAATCACACACACACACACACACACACACACACGCACACACGCATGCACGCACACACACTCTTACCCGTGTGTTTCAGTGTGTATGACGCTTCTGTTCCGCTTGCCAGGCTGCTCACTGACCCCCCACATGTGTGTTTGACCTTTCAACTCTGCACGTCCCCCTCAGGAGAAAGGCCCTGCTCTATGATGCACCTTTGTACACCCAAACACACGCACACACACACACACACACACACACACACACAAAATGATCCTTCCAGTGTGTGGATTTAGCTGTGCAGGGCAGACTCCGGTCAGGCTTGTGGTCATCCACAGTAACAGATAACGGATATATCACTTCCCCAATCCCTAAAACCACAAGTGTGGGTTTGAAGAAACACACACACACATGCACACACAAACACACGTAAACATAAAAACACACCAGGCACTGAGCTCCTGAGTCCCCTGCTTAGCACTTGATCCTCTCTCTGGGAGGCTGACACTTCAGAGGGAAAGCCCTCATACCCTTTGGTATACATACACACACACACACACACACACACACACACGCTCAGACTCTTCACAGAACATACAGTACATCCCTGAGAGAGTCCAAAACCTCGGAGGCCTGTTCATGGTGATCTGCTGGTCAGCATCTGTTTATTGTCGAGGACGCTGCTTCCTATTTCCCCGACCATCAGTCATCACTTGCTCTGCTAAAAATCCACATCTCAGCGTTTGAGGTGCAGGGGACACGTCGAGAAAATGTCGCCAGTAAACAATCTTCCATGTCACTAAATATCCTAAAGCTAGGACTACTTGTGCTCTGCAGAAGGGGAAAATCATTTGAGCGTATTGACCTCCCCTCTGGCCTCCCTCGAGGTAGTGCAGATTGTCCGGCAGCGAACCGCTAATTCCGACAGGCATGGAGCAGGCGTGGAGCAGACGTGGACGTCAAGTAAGTTCGCATCTTCACAGGGCCCAAGGGCACCTAAACGCCAGTTCATAAGGGAGACAATGTGGCCACAGCACCCTGGGGTACCCGCATTTAACACAGTACCCTATCTGCTGCTTGTGTAGAGGCGTGGAAAAGCATATGGATGTTGGTTCAACCTGAGGTCAGGATGATTTCATATTAGGAAGGGGGTGTATGGACAATGGGGGAAGCATGCACACCCTTAGACACACACACACACACACACACACACACAGTGCATGGATGACTCACACTTACTTTAACTGACAAATGTTTCTCTTGTGGAGTAACTGTAAGCAGAATAGGATGCGTTTTATTTCAAAATATAACTATTATTCAACCTCTTTTCCTACAAATAAATAATCTACATCTTATTTAATTTACTACATTGAGGTGATGGCCAAGAAATTAAAGAACAACCCAGTGAGATGTTGAGCCATCATGAGCCATCTCAGCGCTGCTTGTCTTAGATTCTCCAAATCTCTGGAACTCAAGTGGAGGGATGGACAGCATTCTTCCAAAAGATATTCCCTCAGTTTTAATGATTGAAGAGAGAACTGTCTTGCGTTTTATTTAAAAATCTCCCATAGGTGACGGCAAAGGCCATAGTGTATGATTCACATCATTTTCCTGCTGATCACATCATTGAGCGAGGCAGTGGAAGCAGCCGTGTTTGTTGTTTCCCCAGTCTTTTATAGTTTTTCTGTGTGTTGCCACCTGAATGTTTTGGAGCAGGGGTTTTTTAAAGTCTGACACTGTGAGCCCTGCATCAGAGCAAATGGAGAAAACTACCACGAGTTCATCTAAGTAAGACCCAGTTTGATTTACTGTTTGACACATTTTCAAAATTTTGGTTTGACTTCTTTGGTTTGATTTTGTTTTAATATTGAAAACACATCTTTCAAGTCAGCCTTGACTTTTGAAATAACTCTTTCACAAACCTTAAATGCTTTGAATTGCCTTAACAAGCGTTAATCATGCTTTGGCTGCCATGAAGCTTACATTGTAGGAAAAACAAATAAAACATTTTGACCATGAACACTCAGCAGAGAAATTTCTTATGCTGATATCCTTTGAGTGATATTTTGTTTTGTTTTTTAAGCGGGTTGTATGGGGTACTTATTCATGGTTAGTGTATCACCTACAGAGCATGGTGGTCAGTGAGCCCCAGATTTGAAGAAGCAGGCAGGAGAGCCCACACAAACTCAGGAATGTACTGCTGTGGAAGAGATTTAGCTGCAAAACATATTTGAGCCACCTGAAAAAGACCAATATCGGTCTAAGTGCAACTGTTTTGCACACTGTATTAAGCCACAGATCAGCTGTTTGGATTAGTGTTGCATGGTATACCGGTACTAAAATAGTACTGCGGTACTAGAGTATTCCAAACGGTACTATACTGCATTTGGAAAATACCGGTACTTTGAA